TGTCACATATGTAAATGAATACAATACAAAATAATCAGTGAAAGCATAAAAAGTGAAAAACAGTAAATAACACCTTAAGAGATAGCATAAATTATTGGGTTATTTTTGCAAATTAAAAATTTAAGAAGAGCAGAGATAATGTGTAATTTTGGCAAATTTCATCACATTATCACATGCAAAATGTTGTATGAATTCTAACCTATTTTTCCCTTAACCCAATTTAGGTAACAAATGCTATTTCCATCTTGGTGTTAGCAGTGAAATGGATATGACATATATCCATCCCTGTGGAATATATATATATATATATATTTTCTATTTAGCTGCATATTTACTATATATACATATAGGTAGAATATATAGAATATGTATATATATACACAATACATAAATTCTATATTCAGCAGTATCTCTATTTAGCTTAGAGGTAATACATATATTCTCTACTTAGCTGTAGAAAAACCTGCAAATCTACCTTGTGATTCTTGAAATACCATTCCATGCTCACCAATGTCCTCCTCCATATACCTATTCTGAAATAATTATCACCAACTGTATTCAAGTAAGAGTTTGTAATGCTCAATGAAGCATTATTGGTAAAATTTCGGTTATATGCTTAAAATATTTGTCTTATTAATGTTGGTAAAATATCATTTTCTCTACATGCATCTGGTAAACTGATACTTGATTGCCACCTTTTATGTAATAACAATATCATGGATCATTTTTAAATTTGAATGTTTGTTTTTTAATATGAACTAAAAAATTGAACACAGACTCAAGTTGCCAAACCCATCCATGCATCACAAACACTATTTACTGTCTACAATTTCTCTCCAGAGCGGTAAGTTAAGCAATAGTCTTTAGTGCTATCAATTCTCCCACATTCATCAATTTTTTTAATCTAAATAATGGGAGGTTAAAAATATTTCTAAATTATTTTAATTGAAGAAAACACATGAAACAGAAGTTCTACTTTCAGAGACAGAATGTTTTATTATCTGAACTTCTAGAACTCTCCTATCCTTCATATGATTTATTTACTAGCCAAGTAAAATGAGTGCAAACCCACTGAGTTTTGAAACTCCTTTTACCACCTAAAAGGAGTCATGTAGTGTATGTTGTTGGTGCCTCTTGGGATCAGGGCGGAGCTGTTCTCCAGCTGAGACCACCTCCTTGCTTAGCTCTTTTTCATACTCTATCTTGCTTCCACACTCCCCTTCTGGAAACACTCCCGTAATAAATCATTCAAACAAGAATCCCCGTCCCAGACACTGCTTTTAATCAACCTGACTTAAAACAAGTCCTAAACAAGAAATGCCTCAAAAAGAAACATTTCTACCTGGGTTACCCATGTTAAGCCTCAGAAACTAACGTACAATATTTTACATATAACATATAAAATTTTAGTTAACATATATAGTAGTATTTAATAGCTATAATACTGACATCTATGAGATTATTTAATATCTATAGTGTTATTTAACATCTAAGATGTCAGAGAATCTTAGTGTAGCAATGACCATGTTGAGAAATCTCTTACTCTTAAAGCTTTCACTAATCTATTTAGAAGAGGGCAAGGTAGAAAGGATACACCAATTGCACATCTTTAGGTAGCAATTAGATTGTAGCAATTAGACGGCATACAAGAGAAACAACTCAATTGCTAACAGAGGATCAAAAAGATATATCTGCAAAATTTTTAAATAGTAGTGGTCTCCCAGACTGTTCTTCAGTCTGCCAGTAGCTTCTAGCTGTGTGCTAGCTGAACAGAACATTTAAAAGTAGTTACGATGTCTGGCCAAGCCAGAGAAAACAGGATGATAATTAATCACCTCAAACCTGGACTGAATTCTCGATGTTGTTTTAATGGCTCAATCCTCCTCTGAGTTATCAAGGCCATTTACAGAAGGAAGGAAATATGTGTAGCCAATTCTCCATTCAGATTTAATGGAAGAACTACTCATCCCACAAATATTTATTGAGTTCTTGCTATGTGCATAACACTTTGTAAGGTTCTGCATAGAAATCAAAGATATAAACAGACTTGTAGGACACCAGGAATATTACAAATCCAAGAGACTCTGTTTTGATTTTGGAATGTCATGCTATGGAGGGGCCAACCCATATCTTTCTGGAAACATGCCTGTCTTTCTCATTCTTCTCTTCTCAGTTCTGTTTTCTATCACCTGTGTTTTACCCTCTCTGTGCCAAATTATAGAAAAACTTGCCTCTTTTTTTTTTAAACAGTAAATTTTATTTTTATATTCCCCATACAATTGCAACCCCCCCATTCTGACCCCAATCCCTCCCCTCCCGCCCCCCACCCCCCAAAAAGTGTCTCTGTTTCATAGTTTTTTGTTGATTTTGATTTTCACTTTCTTATAGTTATTCATTTTCCTGGTCTCTTATTTAAGTTTTCTAGATTCCTGCTATGAGTGAGACCATCCGGTATTTTTCTTTTTCTTTCTGGCTTATTTCGCTGAGCATGATCCCTTCCAGCGCCATCCATGTTGCTGCAAATTGCATGTGTTTATCTTTTTTGAATGCTGAGTAATATTCCATGGTGTATATGTACCACATCTTCTTGATCCAGTCATCTATTTTTGGGCATTTGGGTTGTTTCCAAAGCTTAGCTATTGTAAATAGTGCTGCTATAAACATAGGGGTGCAGGTGCTCTTTGGAATGGATGTTTCTGTGTCCTTTGGGTAAATACCTAGGAGTGGAATTGCTGGATCCTATGGAAGCTCTATGTTTAGTAGGTCCAGAAATCTCCACACAGCTCTCCATAGTGGTTGGACCAGTTTGCACTCCCACCAACAGTGCAGAAGAGTTCCTTTTTCTCCACACCCTCGCCAACATTTGTTGTTGCTAGTTTTTTTAATATGTGCCATTCTCACTGGTGTAAGAGTAGAAGAGAAAAAACTTGGTAGAGAAAAAACTTGCCTCTTAAAGTGATGGCAGTCTGAACTCCTGTTTCTCCTTTTTTCTACTATGCTTCCTCTCCATGATACCTCACCTATCTCCCTCCTTTGTATGCTTTGCAGAGACAAGAAAATGAATAGAATCAAGTTATTTGAGCTAAAAATGACACACTTGATTGTCTAGCCAGGGATGTATAGATTCAGTAAAAATTCCCATATGTATGAAAGCTAACTACTTCTTTTAACATTCTTGAACTTGGCAACAGTCAAAGATGGATCTCGTTCACTGGAAGGATGAATATACCTAAGTAATGACCCCTTATAGTTACCTTGTGTTAGGAGTTTACAAAATTCTCTCATATACATTACTATTTAGTCTTCATGACTAAATTTAGTTGTGCATCAGAGATTAACCTTAACCTGCTACATTCAGAGTTAAGTGGCTTGTACAAATCATCTTGTAATAACTGAAAATTCAAGGCTTGAACCAAGTCCTTCAGCTATGCCAGCACTACCTCTCTTAGCTGTGAAAGCCCTAGATTCCTTCAGGTGTGTCTTCCCACCATTCCCATCCCACTTCTTATCTTCAACCACTGAATAAATCATCTTTCAGAAAAGCTAGTTTTGTATTATTAATACAACACACTCCACCTTTGTACCTCTCAGCTTTTTAGAAGATTAGATAATATATGGACCATCACTGTAGGGACAGTAATTACATTAATAACCTTCCTTTCTCTCTCTACTTAGCAGGTAATGATGCTACAAGATATAATATTTTTACTGACCAAAATGGTCTGTAGGAACTACCAGAATTAAGGTAAGAGGTAAGAGGAAAGCACATCGTGCTAGGAATCATACACTTAAAAACAAACAACAACAACAACAACCACAACAACAAAAAACACTCCAGTATACTACAGGATGTGGAAGAGAACTGCATGATAAAAACATGTTGACTTCTTTCTTCAAGTAGGTGCTTTTATTTGGTATTTGTTCTTGACCTATTTGTTTGTTTTCTCATATAAATAATAAGAGGATGGAGATTAATGTACTCAACCTAGACTGGTCATCAGAATCACTTGGGCATCGTATCTTAGAACAGTAACTTAAAGTATTTATTCATACATAATTTTGACATCACATCAATAGTCTTATGTATTATTCATTGACGACCACTGCCTAGATCTATTGCTATTGATGGCCATTGCCTACAGCCATTGACTCATAAGGAGTTACAAATGGGTATATTCTAATTCTAATATTTCCTCTAACATTGTTCAAAAAAAATGAAAAAATTCAAAAGCACACATATAAGCTATGATATGTGAAATAAAAACCAAACAGAAACAATTAGTCCATAATTTTTTTTTGTAAAGTTACTACTTCATCAAAGCCAGGGTTTGGGAAATGATTTCTGTAAAGATGACCAATATTGTAGGCTTGATGGGTCACAAAGCCCCTGCTAAACTCTTCCCAGGTTACATGAATGCAGCCTTAGGCAATATGTAAACGAGTAGTTTTGGTTTATTGTATTCTCATAAAATTTTATTTTTTAAAACAAGAGGCAGACTGCACTTAACCTGAGTGTCCTAATTTGGTGAACTCTGATAAAATTCAAGGTCTCTGAAATTTTGGACACAATTTTTTATTTTTCACTTTTTCTGGTCTGCAATTTCAATCAGCTGTAACAATTGAAACACTAGTATAATGACTTCTCAGATTTATCACCTCACTTCAGCAGGTATTAACTTGTGCTAACCTTGTTTCATTGAATTCCTTATCCACTCTGAATTATTTTACAGCAAATCCTTTTATTTTATTCCTAAATATTTGTATTTATTTCATCCATGAATATTTTGGTAAATATGTCTAAAAACATATCCACAATACAATGACCACACTTAACATAATTAATAATATATACATTTTTCAATTTGAATGATAGAATCTAGAGACTAATAAGATTAATGTTCAATTGAAAGATATGTTTCTTAACTTCCTTTTACTCTATGGGTTCCCCCTACATCCCCCTTTTTCGCTGTATTTAAAAAGAAACTGGATAATTGACTTACAGAGCTTTTCACAATCAGGGTTTTATGAAATCCCAGTGGTGTCATTTAGAATGTTCTTCTTTCCTTTATATCTCCTGTGAATTGGAAGTGAGACAGAAATTTAATCATATTCTAGTGTAAGTCTTTGGTGAGAACATTTATATGTGGTATTGTGTACTTCCACCAGGAGGCCCATTTTGTGTTGTTTGTAGTTATTTATGATCATTGCCTGAATCCACTGATACATTAGAAATTACAGAATGGCGTATTCCAACATTCTTACTTTACTACTAACTGAAATATATCTATAAAGGGAAATTGTCTCTAAATAGTTAATTTTCCTGATAGCATTGGTAAGTGAAAAATAGGCAAAAATCTATGATTTTCCTATTAATTTGGAAGATTTTAAAATAATGATTTGTTTCTCTAATATCCTCCAAAGGTGATCAATGAATTTCTTTTTTTATATATAAATCTTTTTTTTTTTTTAGAGATTTATTCCTATACAAGAGCTGGGGTACAGGCCAGAGGTGCTGGACGGTGAGAGGATTCACCAGAAACAGAGTGGGGAGCAGAACAGGCAGATCGGCCGAAATACACTGCTGAGGGGAGCAGTGGGCATGACAGGAGAGGTTTGCCACACCATGTAGGATTCTCCCCAGCTGGCCAGGAATCAAACCCGCACTGCAGAGGCTGCAGGACAGCTTCACAGTGCTATGCCCAACTCATTGCGCCACCAGCGAGGCCCTGAATTTCTTTTTAAAGTATAGATACCAGGACCCAACCACAGACCTATTGAACCAGAATATCCAGGGGTTCATCATGCTTATAACTCTTGCTGAATGATTCTGAATCATGATTTATAGCCCAGCCATTGAGAATGTCTGGACCAGATGACTGAAGAAGTCCATCTAGCATGTTTATAATGTGCAATTAGTAATAAATTGCTTATATGAAAACCCCTGTTCTCCTCTCTCTAACATGGCTGGTTAAATGGTGTCAACCAGAGGTTCGAAGAATACCCAGGCATTCTCAGCAGTGTGGCAACCAGTTCCTTAAGGCTACTGCACAGTTGTTATGCGATACTCATATTGTCCAATTAAAGGATGGAGGTTAGTGCCTTCAGAGTTACAAAGAGTTCAGGTTGTCCCTGATGTTTTCCAGTTCAGATCTCTAGTTCTAGCAGAGATCACAGGGACAAAAATTAATGTCTCAAACTCACATCCAGAGCCAGGTCTTCTTCCCATGAAGTATCAATGAAGGCAACACATAAAGGGTGAGATTAAGGGACCAGGCTAACGAGCCATAAGGCCCTCTAGTTATCTGTCTATTGAAACATAAGAAAGACATTTATTGGTGTCTAGGGACAAATTCATTCAAATCCTGCATCTCCCATTTTCTATATGACTCCTGGCAAGTTGTCTATCAATAAAATATCAAATAACCAATTTTCAACATTATCAAGAAGACTTTATTCAGAATTTATTTCATCAAAGGCTAAAAGCAGAAGTGATCATATCTTTCTTTTTATTAACACTATGTCATTTCTGGCAAAACAACAGAAGGAATCCTGTGCATTTTCAGCAGCATGGCACAACTAAGCACAACAGCTAACTTAATGGACGTTTTTTCAGTCCTATTTGTTTATAAGTTGATAGAATCCAACATTAGAGGGTGAAGGGAAGAAAGTATCCATTATGTACATATGAGTGTTTATGCAGTGTTCGGATCCATGTGAATCTTTTGTCGTTAATTGTATGGACAGGAACTTGTCTGGGCAGTGAATTAAAGTCCTTCCATTAAGCTGCTATCTTCTTGGCATCTGGTCCAAAGGGAAAAGCTACCATTAGCATATGATGTGAACTTTCCTCCACCTTGTAGAAGCTTGCTCGAAGAGACATAGTATTGCTCTGGCAGAAAACTCCCGTTTTAATTTTAGTGAGAGCATGAGGAAAGAGAAGTATACTTGGTGGAAACAGGTTAATATGTCCCATCATCTTGAAAGTGTTTAGCTAGTGCCTGTTTTCATTAGAAGTGAAGAATAAGTGAATTAAATATTTTAATATGCTATTAAAATAAAAACTAAATTTAAAACAACTCACTACAGATCTTTGAGACTAAAATTTAGTAACTTAATTTGGGTATTTTATGTGCAAAAGGGAAGGGATCCAGATTCAAACCCTCGTGGTTTGAGTCAGACTGTCAATTCTTATGTGCTGCAGGACTGTGGGCAAGTCACTTTGCTGAACCTTTTCAGACATCTCTAACCCTCATTTTTCAGGCTTCCTTCTGTTCCCTGTCTGAGTAGAAGGTCTTTGGTCAATTTCCCCTGGAAATAGACTCTGAGGATAATTATTTATTGTGAAAGAATGCCCTTGAGAACAAGCATGGGGAGTAAGAAAAGCAGAATTGGCAGAGGGAGAAACTGGATTACAATGAAGTACAATAGAGTCCTCAGCTGATGCCACAGGAGCTCCGGAGTACAGATAATTCTTCAAAGTTGTTCCAAATGCAGATGAGGGAGTCTGACCTTTGAACTCCTATGAATAGCCATGCCATCAGGACTGTCCTTTGGCGAATGGCAATTCCCAGAGGAGTACACTGCTAGGATGCCCAGCACCTGGGAAAATGAGTGGCTAGGTCCTGAAGGAGCTGTCTGGTAGCAACTGCAATAAAGAAGAAAGCCCATCTCCTCTCCTGCTTCAGTGAAATATCCACTTCACTCAGGTGTGTGGGCTGACCTCCGTCACCCAGGCAAGGCAATCACAAGGGAACACAATGAATAACCTGTCTTAGGAGGGAGTTCCCAAGAAAAACACCCTGAGATGAGGATTCCTGTTAATGTAATTTATTATGAAATGTTTCTTGAACCAACCAATAGAGAAGTGAGACCAGGAAAGGATGGAAGCCAACAAAGGTACAAAGTCATATAAAAGTCCTACAGTGTCAGACAGCCAGTAACTTTGAGTCACATCTATACGGAACTTTGGGTACAGTATAGGTACTTCCTCAGAGTTGTCCTCAAGGGAGCGGGCATATTTATATCGCTTGCACCCATCAGCAAATGGTTAGGGGCTGCTTCTGAGATAATTTAAATTCCTAGGCACTCCAACTCCCCATTTGCAGGCAAACTGGATTCTAGTCACTTGGGCAACTCTTCAACATTGACATATATGCCAGCTTTACTGGGAATGAAAGCACACTGACAGCCTGTGTGTAATACCATGGCCGAAGGGACTAGGAAGGCTATGGGTGGAGAACTCACAATTCAAAATCTGGCCTGAACTGTCTTTAAAAACCCACACGTACGGGAACTGGGCCCATTTGTTGCACTTCCTTGTCACTGTCTATTCTTCAAGGTGAGAAGAGATAATCCAATTTGCTAACCACTCATCTTTTAGTATGATCACACACTCTCATATAAACAAATGCTTACAAAGAACACACACATTTAAAAAAAAGCAAACATTGTTTAAAAATGAACAATGACACTCTATGGGGTGTGGGGGGCAGGGAAAGGAGGGATTGGGGTCAAAATAAGGGGGTTGTAATTGTATGGGGAGTATAAAAATAAAATTTAAATTAAAAAATGAACAATGATATAAAATATATATAAAAATTATTTTTTTTAAGATTTATTTATTTATGCATACAAGAGCTGGGGTACAGGCCACAGATAAGGGGGGTGAGAGGATTCACCAGAGACAGAGTGGGGAACAGAACAGGCAGATTGACCAAAGTACACTGCTGAGGGGAGCAGCGGGCGAGACAGGAGAGGTCTGCAGTGCCATGTGGGATTCTCACCTGCCGGCCAGGATTGAACCTGCAATGCAGAGGCTGCAGACAGCTTCACAGCACTGTGCTCAACCGCCTGCACCACCAGGGGAGGCCCTATATAACCATTTTGAAGAATGACTTAGATATATCAACTAGCAGTTTTCATGTCATACTGAAAATGAAATATTCTGTGGCTTATTTTACTTAATCCTTATTATAATTTACTTGGAAAATGTATAGCATCTCTGTAATAAGTGTGAAATGTTCTATATGTCTAGATGAGTGATCCACATATATTTTAAACATATATATTAAAAAACCATATATTTTTTTAAAAGCATATTTAAATTATAGGCAATTGATTAAACATTTTGCAAAGACTGCTTTTTGAGTTCATCAAATTAGAAATGACTAAGGAACTAGTTTTTTTGTTAACATTGTCCAACAGGTAAAGTGTGGAAAGCATAAATATGTTTATATTCGGTCAGGAACACACTTGTTTAACGGTATTCAGGGATTTTAAAAGAAAGATTATCATACAAATTTGAAGGTATCTAGGATTACCTGTAATTTGTGGAGAATTAAATTTTTTGTCAACTTGCCTAACTTCCTACTGTTGGAATATTTGCTTTGTTTCTAAACACCTTATGATTGAGTTTATAAATTACTATGAAACATTAAAAAAACTTCTAATAACCAAAAAACTGCGGTGAGCTCACACAATCTGGCCCTGTTATAACTCAAATTTCTTATCTGCAGAAAGGAGAGACACAATGTCTTATCGTCTGTGTTTTATCAGATTTTGATTGGGAATTTGAGCTATGTTTCTTATTCTGCTGAAGACATACTGAAACCAGACAAAGGATCTCAAGGTAAAGAATAGGAAACGGGTATTGATTTCCTTTATCCACCCCAGTCTCTTCGTATCTTTTTGTATTGTGCTATGATGGATTAGGTGGACAGGCCAGCAAATGTTTTACATTTGCTACCAATTTGATGGGCTTTGGAAAAAGGGATTTGAGGCATATGCTAGTAACAAGTAGAATCCTTAAAACCATATCTGGGTCAGTGTGATAAGTAGAAAGGCATATGTTCCCCTATATCAGAAGGCCACAAGCCTCCTATCTAATATCTTACTTCTCAGCACTCTCTCCACACACACACACACACACACACACACACACACACACACACACACACACACACACACACCCTTACTGAAATAAGTACTGATACTTTTCTTACTTTAAGATTTCTTTTGTTAATTTCTGTCTTTCTTTTCTCTGAAGTGAATATGCTCATAAAAAATATTGTTTCT